GTAGAGTCTCATGGAGTCAGGAGGAACTCTAAGCTCTCCTGTGAAGGTGCAGGGGTCCATTTAAGATAGGTACGAGCCCAACAAGTGTGAAGAAGTCAAAGCGAACCACAGATTAGAAAAGATCTCTCTGTTAAAGCAGAATCTGTAGCTCACAGTGTACAACACCTCTCAGTGTGATAACACACTAGCAGGAACACGTTTCCTCTCATGTGTGCAGCAGCTCAGGTCCAGACTGGGCCGCACCGGCGCCGTGACCTGAATCTGCAGCTCCTCTCAGGCCTCAGTGTGGTGATGGATTGTTGTTGTTCTGAAACTTTCAGTGTTTCATCTTCTGTTAAAAACTGGACTTCATTACTTAGAAACTGCTCCAGCTGTAGATTCAGGCTCTGCTAGTGGCTCTGGGCTCCAGCTGTGAGAACTCCTCCTTGCCACCGTTGAAGTGCAGCCATATTTTTCTGTCCACTGTTTCTGCAGCAGAATCTGGGTCGGCCGGTCTGTGGGCAGATTCCTCCTAAGGGAGTTGTGTCTGGTTTCCTGGCTCGCCGTGCTGTGTGATCAACACTTTCTGCTATTGGTTTCATTATTTTACAACCTGCTGCAGATTCCCCCTCCAGGATGTTGATTAACTGATTGATTGGTTGTGGAAGCGTGGCTGATAGCGCTTCCACTGGATGGAGGGATTAATGGTAAACTCTGAGGAGCTCAAATCTGAAGATTTCAGTGGATCTGACAAAGTGCTGACCGCAGCATCAATATCTGCTTTTTGTTATCACACACACACACACACACACACTCACAGACACGTGAAGGATGATGATGTGATGCAGTGTGATGGTATGTGATGAAGTTCACCTTCTCTCAGCAGCACACATGCTCTGAATGACATTTCACACTAAACTCCCATGAGCCTCGAGTGTTGCAGTGGGCAAGCTGCCAATCAGAGAAGTGAACCTGAATGCTTCATGTCTGCAGAAACTAATATCAACTCGAAGTCTTTCGTTTACATTGAAATAAAATTGGGATATGAGTCTGAGGGAACCTGCTCTGATCTACTCAAATTTATCATGTCGGGTGCTCTGTGCGACTTTTCTATTAGTCAGAAGATTTTTATTGTTACTGAATGAACCGATTCTAACTTAACCTAAACAAACAGGCTTCCTTGACTCCTTCAGGAGCCGTCAGTGGCCCATGGACTGATTTCTGCTTTCTCTGTGAAGGACTTGGACATCCTAACCCTCCCTGCACCTCCTGCTCTCTCCCCTCACAGCTCGAGACTGTCACAAAATGATAAAGTCAAGAATAAGATGAGAAAAAAAAATATAATCGTCCTGTAGGTCATCAAATGATATTCCATCATTTTATCATCACCTTCATCGTGATGAGCCTGATAATCGTAATCATTCAGAGACAGGCGGGAAACAGTTTGTGTTGAATCATTAAAGTGTAAGTGCATCAAACTGACTCTCCTCACTGAGCATGCTCCATCATTAAAGCCATCATCTTTATTCATCACTAAAGCCGTTTCATCAGGATCATTATCAAACCCTCAGCTCTGAGCGTCAGTGCTCGGCTCTCACACTGTCTGAAGAGATTATGGTGCTTTTACTCCGAAGGAGCAGAGGAGATCCTCTCAGAGCTCTGGGTTACTGAGAGATCAGCAAAGTAAAACCGCCGAAGAAGAGAGTGAGTTTGGGAAAGCTCTCAAAGACTTTGCTGTTGATGCAGAAGGAGTTTGATGGAGCAGATATTTTATTGCCTGATTTTCTTGAATTTACCTCTCTACTAAAGTTGAGCTGAGGGTGTTTCCTCCAAATTAAAATATTAATGACGAATGACAGGATGAATGTTGGTGTTCAGCCTACAAATCCTGCTCAACTCTCACTTTCCTTTCAGCTTAGCCGTAAGGATCTCCAACCACCCAGACTCTGAGCATTTGCACTGTTCATATTTGTGACCTCAGTGTGCATCTGAAAGCATATCGATCACGCGGGGAGTCCGGCCATCAGAGGAAACATGGTCATCCACACAGTACCTCAAAGCTGAGGCAGTGACATCACATTAAAGACGCTCAACAGTCAAAACCTTCAGACATCCTGCAGGTTCATGTGCGCATCAGCAACAAAGTTTGATATAAAGTATTTCAGTAGGTTTATGTGGTTTTCTACCATAATAATAATTGTTAATATAACACTCAGAGACCGTCAGTGCTTAAACGTTTTGTCCTTGTTCTCGTTGTTTTTAAAAATTTGGTTCAAAAACGGTGCAAAATTCCTATTTGTGGAAAAAATATTTGTGCTGCAATGAACCAGTGAACTAAAGGTGGGTGCTGTGTCTTATTATCCTCAGCTGATGTCAGTTACTCCACTGAGGTCAAAGTCATTACTGGCGGAACACCTACTAACGCCCATATTTGATCAAACACACAAGTTTGTGTGTGTGTGTTTGCTATAAAGAGGTGAATACACAGCAGAGTCAACACACACACCCTCCTTGATGAAGGACGTAGTCACATGACTGACACAACCATACACAGCCACACACACACACCTGTACTCTGAGTGTGTTTCTAATTGGGTGAAACACACTGAGACAAGGTCGCAGCCTCTGATTGGCTGCCTGTGAGACGCGGTGGCTCGAGCTTTGAAGGTTTGCAGGAGGAGACGAGGCGATCCGTCACTGACTCAAACTTCACCTTGAGCGAAACATGAAACTCGACAGGAAGACAAAGAGGACAGAAGTTTACAGAAGTGACTTCCTCTTGGAACCCGAAGAATGGAACCTGAACCGCTTGATGTGGATCATGTTTATGAGGGTGATATTAATCAGTGCTGCATTTAGCAGCTGACATTTAGTCAGCAGCTGACACACCAGTTGTCGATATCTGAACTGCTTGGTTTATATGTTCATGCTGATATTTTGAAGTCTGAGTATTTGTTAGTCTGATTAATGTTTTCTCCACTCCAGACTTCAAATGAGTTTTTTCTGAAGGTCTTTACCAGGTATTAGTTTGAAATATTTTAGGATTCCACATCCAGCCACTCACACTTTGGGGTATGTTTTTTTTTTTTCTTCTGAACCAAGCTGGACTTTTCAGATTTTTCACATGCAAATAAACAGATCTGACCAATCAGAACACTGCATTTGGCAACTAGTGCGCTGTAGCTCAAAATGCAGCACTGAACAATATGGAAATGATAAAGTAATCCTGTTTAACGTCAGACACGCAGCGAGACCCAGATTTCTCTGCCTCCTCTGATGTGGTCCCAGTATTTTTTAGTTTTTATTATGTTGTTTTTATCGCTACTGTAGATGATTATACAAAAGCCGTGCCATCTTCCTTTGATTGTTGTCTACAGATCAGTTTGAGCTAGAAAAAATATCATTTCCACATGTGAAAATATTTGTTTTATATCTTACATTTTGAGATTTCTGTTGGTGTAAACTTAATCAGAGCGACCGATTTATTACTGAAAGCAATGATAATAGAAACTAAACATCTCCTTTGAAAAATCAGTAATTAGAAACCGAACAGTTACTGACATGTTCTGAGTGTTTTTGAGCCTCAGGGTGAATAAAGCTCATGACTTTAGCCTGATGGATACACTCTCCTCTGTCCTAGCGTCTGAGCACTGAGCATGCTGGGAATGCCGCTGCTGTCTTACTGTTTGAAAGTGGGGCAGAATTATTTGGGTGTTTTAAAGTTTTGATGAATGTGTTGACGTGTGGTGGTGGTAATGCAGAGCTTTAGCGCCTCCACGTGGACGCTGACTGAACTGCAGTTTCATTCATGAAACTGAAGGTAAAACGCTGCATCAGCTCCATTTTCTGCAGAGTCTTTGAAAAAGCTGCATTTAGTTTAGTCATTGAGTATCTGTCACACCAAACTGACTGATCATAAATGAAGAGGAAACTGTTGAGTGTGGTGTTCAGCTTACAGGAAAACAGATGTTTAACAACAGCTCGATGATCACACAGGATTACTGATTCCGTCTGACTGTTTGAGAGCTTCACCTTAAACCTAGCTCTTACCATTGTAGTCAAACAGCTCAATCTCTGTCTTTCTGATCATCAGACTTGTGTTTGGTTTGTTCAGGTGGGCAGCTTCAAATTTCAGTCAAGCTTGAAGGTGTCAGTTTTGGATCAGGGTCTTCTTTCTTTATCACCACCTCTCAGTCCTCTCAGCTGGATTCAACCCTGGACCTTCTTACTGTAAGGGGACAGAGCTAGCAGTTCACTGCTACACCACCTGGAGTCAGAACTAAAGGAGTCAAGCTAGTTTATAAAGTGGGTCCACATCAGAAATGCTCCAACTTCACAGTCACAGACTGTTCTGTCTGCTCTTTATGCTCTGTGTTGTAACAGCACATATCAGGCAACATTTTATTCTCACTTGAATCACAGTAATGCAAACATTTTGTGAAATAATCGTTGCACTGCATGAAGACCAAAGATCTTAACACCATCTACCATCATGTTTGCTTCTTTACTGCCGTGCAAAGAAAAGAGACCCAGCATGCTTTTCCTTTTGTATGACATCACAGAGATGTTTGGGAAAATGACCTATCAGAGGCTTAAATACATCAACAGAGGTGCACTCATTTCACTGTAGCTTATGCTCAGCATAGGTCATGATTGTCTCCTCCAGTATAAATGACTCAAAACACAGTGTATATACTGTGTCCCAGTCTTTCATTTACAATCAGGTTAACTTTGGTATCTTCATCATAAACACACTGAAGTTCTTCTTCTTTACACCTTTACAGGATTAAGCTTCATAGTGTTTCTGTGGGATCTTTGGTGTATTCAAATTTATTTGTCTTCAGGTTTTTCTAAGTGGGTGAAATCTGAAGAATCCATGATGCTCCACGTTGCTGTGCGAAAGAACAAAAACCCAGATATACCTGCTGTTGTTCAGACCCTCTGAAAATGGCAAATCTCAGTTTACACAAACTGCTGTTGACCTCACAGCCGGGCTGACCTCTGACTCTCTGCTCTCTTAGATATGGTGACATGGTGCCAAAGACCATTATGGGGAAGATCTTTGGTTCCATCTGCTCTTTGAGTGGCGTGTTGGTCATCGCCCTGCCGGTCCCCGTCATCGTGTCCAACTTCAGCCGAATCTACCACCAGAGCCAGCGAGCCGAGAAGAGAAGAGCGCAAAAGGTGAGGACTCCATATTATCCATTCATCCATCCACTGACACAAACTGTCTTCAGAGTGTAATGGGAGGATAGCAGTGACCTGGGATTTAGATGCAGGACTTCAGTGTTTTTATGAAGAACTTTTTGTTTCTAATGAGTTTAAAACTTTAACAGAAATTAACAGAATGTGAAGAAATAGTTATGACGTTATGTTCATTAATCAGTGCGGGCAGCTCTCAAGTAATCCCACACTGAACCACATGACTGTGCTGTGACTCTGGAAGCCTCCAGCCTGCCCTGAGGCACGCTAACATTATTGTTATATTAGTGTTAGATGAACATCTGTACAGACATGATGTTCCTGGAATACATACCTGATTAATTTTAGCAGCTGAAAGCGCTCTGACTGCAGCTTTAAAAACTAACACAGAAACTTTAGAAGTCTGCAGTCATTTCAGATCTACAGACCAGAATGTAATGCTGGTCATCACACTGAACCTTTCTGGTAAGACGCTGCCACCGTGTGGTGAAGGTGTTCGTTGCATATTTGCAGAGGTGTTTACAGAGATCAGCTGTGGATGTGGGTGTGTTTACAGCTGTGAGTGTTCAGAGAGAAATCCAGAGTATCTCTGAGAGGAAGCAGGGCACTTCTGAAGTAAGAGGGCCGGCTGCTGCAGAAGGTCACTCACACATCAGTGTGGTGACAGCAGTTTGTCCTAATTTTGAAATCTGAGTTTGTGCACAACCCACAGGAGAAAAGAGAGGAAGACACAGAGAGCAGGAAGCTGTCCAGGCTTTACTTCCTCCCAGCATCAACAAATGAGTTTTCTGGTTGTGCTGGAGACCTTTGTTTACCCCACTGGGAGTCAGAGAGAAACACCATGTTGGAAAGTTACAGAGAAGCAGCTGAATCGTGTTTCTGTCTGCAGCCTGAAGCCTGCAGAAGATCTCTGAAGAATAAATATTATCAGATTCATACAACACATCTTCTACTGAGCAAAGCTTTTATGTTCTCTCATGCACATCATCAGTCACTCAGCTTCTGTCTGCAGAAACCATCAGCATCACATACATGAACTTATTATCTGTGCAAATTAGAGTTGATGCTTCAAACTGAACCTGAAGAAACTTTGGGAAAGCTCATTTTACACCTACATATTCACACCACTTGTGCTCACTTACCTTTAACCGGTAAATAAAACACCCTTGGCTCAATTTATGTTGGGATAATCTGTCAGAGATCATGAAAATCCTGCTGACCACATCAGTGTCAGCTGTGAGGATGCAGTTCAAATTTGACATTTACACAAAGTTTGGATAGATTTTGATTGATTGGGAAATGAGTGGCTGCAGACACCCTGACGTTCTTCCATAGATTCTTGAAGGATTTAAAGACACTTGTTGCTGCACAGATGTGTCATCTAAATGGAGGTGATGCTCAAAGTGTTCATCCAAATTTTTAAAGGTTCACACAGCTCACGGAGCTCAGCTGGCTGCTCACCGGGTCATATTGCCCTTTGGTGGTGTTCTTCTCCAATACAGCGTTCCCCACCCCCGGGTGTGAAATTGATGGTTTTCAGGGTTTTATCGGTAACTCAGTTTTCCTGCATCTTTTCCCGCTTTATAGTTGTGTCTAATTTTTGAAAGAAATATTTAAGAATTACCATAGCTACCAGAGAGCATTAAGGGGCAGAGAGGAGGATATTACTCTCAATGTTGTTGTCTCATTTCAGGAGGACGCTGCTAATAAAGTTACACAATTACACAGTGAATTTGCGTTTATTATGATATTTACAAAATACCACAGTTTTTGTCTTGGTTTTTTCCATTTTATTTTGTTGTTCTTATCCGCGACACCTTAAAGGTCGGTCCGTGAAAATATTGTCTGACATTAAACCGCTCCGTGGCGCACAAATCATATCAAATCAAATCAAAATTTATTTATATAGCACATATTAAAACAACAGTGTTGACCATAGTGCTTCACAGTTAATAAAAACATGAGACAGTTAAAACAAACAATAGAAGAGGACAACAAACAATAGGTAACAACGCAACAAGCTAAAACAGCCAACTAGACAGAATCAAAAGCCAAAGTAAAAAAATAAGTTTTAAGACCAAAAAATGTTGGGGACCGCTGTCAATCTGAAAATCATGTTATCCGGATAAATTAATATGATTATACTTCCCCAAACCCACAAACCTAATTTAGTGTTGGTGTCTGTCTTGCAGTTTCTGTGTAATAGATCCTGAGACTGACATTAATCAGGATTACATTACAATGTAAACATGGACAAACTAGGCCAAGAGGCAAGTGATCAGTCAAGTGATCTTGCATTTAGCCAGTAGGGGTGCTATTTTTATAACTTACGTTGAAGCTTGCCACACGCCTTTTTCACTTTTTGCTGTTTATGTGCACTGCTTCATCAGCTGCTCATCACACAAGCCAACACTTTGTTTGCAAGCAGAAGTTATTAAAAAGGACAGCTTGTGTCCAGATATTGACATCTTTGATATTTTGATATTTTCTTCATTGAAGTGACTTTCTGAATGCAGAAGATATGATTTGCTCACATTAGTTACCTTGTTAGTTTGGTTCTGGGTGTTTTGTTGGATTATCAGACTCAGTTTTCGTGGACGTCAAAGGCTGAGATAAACATGAGCAGATGAAGGACGGCAGCAAATGGGATCTGAATCAGCTTCTGTTTTCATGTTCACATCTAATCCTCCTGCAAGTTTGTTTTAGTGACCATGGTGGTGAGCCTGTGTTTGTGTTCCCACTTACAGTTGATCGCTCACAAACCTATGTGTGTTCACAAACAAAAAACCAGGCGTGCTAGAATTCGAGCAGTGAAGAGTGGAGGCGCTAACGCTTATTTGCAGTACAAACGCAGCCGGCTGATTATTGACCCTGAGGAGGAGGTAACCGTGGACATGCAGTGTTGGTCTGGTGGTGCTGATGTTTGTTCTCTTGGTTTCTCTCATCTTTTCTGTCTCATATCCAGCTGTGAGGAGCATGCTGAGGGCTGCTTTCATTGTGCTTTCGTGTGTGTGTGTGTGTGTGTGTGTGTGTGTGTGTGTGTGTGCGCGCGCTTCAGCAGTGACATGTTTTTGGATCAATGTAATGATAAAGCTGTGCTCTCATTTCAAAACTCCAGCCTTTTACATTAGTTTCTCTTTACCTGCCAAACAAGAGCGCTGAAGGTTCCAGCTCCCAGATACCTGACAAACAGCAAACTCTGATGAACCCTTTCTTCTTCGCGGTTAAAGTGATCCATCTCTAAGTTCACAGCTCAGCACAGATATGGTAGAAGACCTGACTGACTATGGCTACATCCTGATATCCCCACAACATGTCCACAAGACTCTGGAGGGTCTAGAATCTAAAGCGGAGTAACATAGGCAGATACACCGTGACTCTTTGCAAAGCAAAAACCTACATTTCTTTGGTTTATTTTTGTGATCAATGAGGCCAAATTACAAGCAAAATTCGGATGACAGAAGCATCATTTTCTTTGTGGGGTTTTATACAGCACCACATATCAGTAGAATTAAAATAAAAAATAAAGATAAGAATCTAAGTCCAAGGACATTAAAACTGTACTTCAGTGAAGTACATAAGTAACTCTGCTGAGATACATCTCACTGGTTCCATCCCTGCTGTTGGAATATAAGAGGGCTCTAGGCCATTGGCAGTGGTGGGAGGGGAACAAGCTATAACCTTCTAATTCCTCAAAACTCCAAACTTCCTCAACACAAGCAGAAAGTGACAGCCTTGTTACTTACCCTACATTTACCCTGCAAAGTCTGGACTTTCTCTGTAAAACAGTCTCATATCAGCACTAAATAGAGTAAAGGTAATATGATCTTTGGCTTTAGACCGGATGTTTGGAGATCATTTCTGATCCAGTGTCTGGACAGAGTTTGCTCTTCTTTTTTAAATGAAAGTGTTTTAGTGTGAATTTAGCCTGTGTTAGCTGGTCCTCATCTGGTCCTTGCTCATGTGTTTAGCTGACTGAAATGTTGATGCTGAAGTGTCCATGATGAATTCATCTTCATCCTGTTTCTATCACTGTCTGTCTGTAGCCTGTCTGTAGTGTTCTGTCTTTTCACATCCTTCTTAGCTTTGCTCACAGTCTGAAAAACAAAATACCCGTCAGTCACTAACTAACTCATATGTGCATGATCTGGTCCTTTGCTGTGTGGGGGGTGCCTTACCTGACCAACAGGAAGTTCTCTACACCTCCACCTCTCAGTGTCTCTCCTACTCTCTGCTCTGTCTTCTTCCTCTTTTGTTTTGTTCCTTTGACTTGAGCCCTACCATGCAGCTCTGCTGTTATGAGATGATTACCTGCGCGATTCATGACATCATCAGTAATAGTGTTGGACTTCATTGACTTGTGGAGGAATGAAATTGGGCTGAACTGCATGTCAATCGCCCAGCCAATCCGCATGCAACTGGGCAGAGTCAATGTAAAGCAAAACTTTGAAATGAAGTCTTGTTAATATTTCAAAAGCTGTGTTGCTTCTGCCCAGCATAGGGGCTCATGATTTTGCCCCAGGGAAGGTCTTAATGACTTAGAGTGAAAATCATGAAGTTCTTTAAGGTCACAAAGTGAGTTTCTGGAGTTGTGTTAATGCCTTGCCCTGATAATGAGCTGCTTTGCAGCATTTAGAGTCCACAGGAGTCGAATGGGTTTTGTCCTCTAAGAATTTTGGCAGGTTCCCTGAGAGGCAGGTTTATGACTCCTTGGGTTATTGGTTTCTTTTGGGATCTGCAGGAATGGGGGTCACAACTTCAGACAGGAATATTTTCTTTAAAATACCAAGACTTCAGGTGCATCGCTCCCTTTAGGACTATCTGTGGCATGCATGGAATCTCCAGGAATAAGGACTTTGTTTAGTCCTGAAAATCAAAATACCCGAAGGAAGTAATTTGTGGGCATTGCTCCAAGTTTATCATGCATTACAAAAAGGTAAGTTAAAAGGTATCTTTAACTTACCTTTTTGAGGATCCTAAAAGCAGGTAAAAACAGGTAAAGTTCTTAAAGGAAACAAAGCACCTCTTCCTTGAAGGTGTTAAGGCAGAACACTAGAACCGATAAGGAAAATGACACCAGTCGTACATGGAGCCCTAAACACTCAAACAATCTATCTAAAATGTTGGACTCTTCCTTTGGCAGCAGCTGAGCTTCTGAGCTCCACGTGATTGGTTACTCTTCTGCCCACCTGGGTCACATTCAGTCTGAACTCCAGAGTTATACAAGCTCTGGAGGCTCTCTTGGGTTAAATGAGGCTGGAGTCAAACCACAGAAGTAAAACAAAAGCTGCTGAACGGCTGCTGTTGATAGCCTTGGTTTGATCCAGTGAGTGATCCATCATTTTCACACTAACTTGAGAACAGGAAGGAATTGTGGCTAAAATAGAAATGCTGAGGTTTGGCAGATTTTGGTGGAAATATTAGCCTTGCTCAGGTGCTTCTCTGTAAATGATGGGGTAGCTGAGGTCATGTGTTTTGTGTTTATGTCTTGAAGGCATCCAAAGAAGCAGGACAGGCGCTGGTGTGTAAGGCCAACCCTAACTTCGAGGTGCATCATCATCATCTCTTGAACTGCCTGGAAAAGACCACGGTGAGGAG